TGCATGACAGCTACAACTCCCTGGGCTACTTCCCCATGGCCTCCTCCAAACACCTTCCTTATTCTCACCACAGGACCTTCCTCCTGGTGTCTGATAACGCTTGTGCTCTTCAGTCCTCCAGCAGCACACCCTCTCCCTCTCACTCTCAGCTCCTTGCGCCTCTTGCTCCCAGCTCCTCACACTCTCACACTACAAGCTGAATTGAAACCCAGGTGCCCTGATTAGCCTGCCTTAATTGATTCTAGCAGCTTCTTCTTAATTGGCTCCAGGTGTCCTAATTAGCCTGCCTGCCTTAACTAGTTCTAGCAGGTTCCTGATTACTCTAGTGCAGCTCCTGTTCTGGTCACTCAGGGAACAGAAAACTACTCATCCAGTGACCAGTATATTTGCCCTCTGCCAGACTCCTGTACCCCACTGGTCTGGGTCTGTCACAGTACATTCTCCTTGAATACTTAGTACTGCCGTGAGTGCAGGGGACTGGACTAGATGATCTCTCGAGGTCCCTTCCAGTCCTGTGATTCTATGAATTTAATAGGAATGCTTTGATTTTTGCCTATAAGCCGACCAATATAGGCCTACTGTACATTGGAGCAATAAAAGTTCCCCACACCCTTCTTAGTTGAGTACTATGAGATGAAATACTGGATTTAGAAGAAACAGTAGAGCAAGAGTATTATTAAAGGGGAAATGTAAGTGTGAATTAGTTGCTGCCAAGAGAAGAGGATAACAAATTAGCTCTCTGGAGGCTGATGGGCCATGGTTCAGAACGAATGAAAGGGAGTGCATTTCTGTAGGGTAATGGTGATAAAACACATAGTAGCATATGATGTCTCAAATTCAGGTTGCTTGAGAACTTTGAAACAAATGTGAATTCAGCAATGATTTAAGGCAACATTCTTATTTTAACTGAATGGGTTTGCCTGGCCCTAGTTTACATTCTCTAAAAGACTGACGTCTGAAACATAAAAACAACTATAGATAGGTAGCATTTGGTGTCATTGGCATGATAGAGAGAAGCATACCTAACATTGAGGTGAACTGCTACATTTGTATAAACAAGCTTTGGTCAAAAAGACTTCAAGACCACTTCATTTCTTAAAGCTTGAGTGAATATTAGTGCATAGCGCCAGTTTATATGTCTGCCTGGTCCCTAGGAAGCACTTCACTTTCACATTTCAGAGGAGTTACTGCCACCGATAAAGTACAAAACTGTAGAAGATAATCTCAACAGAAAAAAAGGTCAGATTGTAAAACTATTGCTTTCAATTTTCTAGAAAAAAATAATCATTTTAATTTCTGAAATGTAACAAAGGCTGTTGTCAGGTTTCTTTGAGCAAAATTGTTTCCCTGAATTTTCAGAGCTGATTTGTTTATGATTTTTTGATTTGTGTTTTTAAAGCCTTTAAACTTAGGTTATTGCACCATATTTGAAAAATGGTACCACTAGGGTGTTTTAAATGAATTTGCATTACTACAATACCTGCCACAAAACCAATGCATTGAAATAGACAATTTAGTCCCTTGTGCTGCATGAACTTATTTCTGATACCATGATGACACCTAGCTCTATAGAGAGATTAGATAGAAGTGGTTTCTGCAAGAACCTGATTCATTGCCTAATGTGGAATGACAAGCACAGCAAAATTACAATCTCAGATTGCATGGAAACCATGTTATTTGTGTGAGAAGTAGAAAATAGGTGGTCAAATATTTTTTTTATTCTATTGCCCCAGGGTCATCTGACATCTGGGTTAAATGCAAATACTGCTGTAAAAACATATTGTGCGTCAAATAAGGATGTGCATTTCACTTAAATAGAAGTTTTCCAGGAGGCTTTCAGTAACAACATGAAAGAAAAAGTGAATGAACTAACTATATGAGTTTTTAAAAAAACTTTGACGTAATATCCAAATGTGTGACAACGTATTTAATGAAAAGAGAACATATATTACTGGGCTGAGGAAATTATCTAGAGTGCATACTGTATATTTCTTCTAGGAGCTGTGATCCCCTTTTTTCACCCACCATAATATCTTCATTCCTTCAGATGAGAGTGTTCATTTTCTTGGGAGTTTCAGCAACAATGGCCTGCACAGCTCTTTTCTTTTCTTTTATTCAGAAAGGCAAAGATGTCTTCTTTGGTAAGTAACAAATAAAATGTTCTTTATTTCCTGTTTCATTTGGCTGTACTGTTGGTGAAACTGAAAACACACAGGCAATGCTTGGTAGTTTAGCTTATAATACTTTTTCCATTCAGAAAAGAGACAATGATTGACTTCAGTGAAAGTTTTTCCACAATTGTTTTCCTTCCAAAAAAAAATTACATCTTTATAAATTCACCACAGCAAACACCCTTTGCACTTGTGATGGATGTGTCTGATTCATGTACCTTGTGATTAGGAATGACTGGTTGTACTTTCTTGGTTGCATTCACAAGTCACATACGGTATTTACACACATAACTCTGACTTCTTTCCTAGAATCACAATCCGTACATTTAGACAGTTTAAGACTTCAGAACTACTATGAACTTCAGAACTTACGGTGAATTTTAAGCCAGTAAGGTCTATTGAACCATGGGTGGAGAAATATTGGAAGCCCCATTGTTTGGCTCATTTTAAAACTGGATTGAACTAAGATTCAAGAATATGAATGAATGAAGAACACTTCTGCCATAGTGGAGAGTAGACAAGATGAACGGTCAGGGTTTTTTGATATGTGTAGCTTATTATTTTATTCTATAACTTTAGGTAAGATTAAGATGGGAACAATCTTGGAAGCTTTTGCATTTCAAAGTAATGTATAAACACTTTCTCAAATAAGATTAGATTTGAGATGGGGGGAAAAAACAACATTGCTTTTCATGGGAGATTGTGTTCTTTTCTAGACCATAACTGCCAAACAGGAAATCAAATTTGATTCCTGTTATGGACTCTCTGTTTGGTATCACTGTGTGAATTGTTAGGGAGGTCTTGGCCTGGAAAGACCTAACAAAACAGTTGGCTAGTTCATCCAATATAGCTTAACAAACTTAGCACTGGTGAAAAGCAGTTATTTCTGGCAAAACATTGTATGGAAATTAAAACCTGTGCTTCTCACTAAAAAGAGGCAGAGGCAGAGGCAGAAATCCAATTACACTATGTGTTTCAGATCAGAATCTTGTCTGGGGCAAGGCGATCAGCAATGCTCAAAAAAATGAGGCAGGCAGAGTAAATGGTTTGGAGAAAAACACCCATAAAATTATTGAAAATAGTAGTACCAATGCCACAAAAAGACATACTGTTATGTGGCTTGAACAAATCAATCTTACTTTTTAATGTAGACATTAAAACCTTTTCAGATACTCTGGCTAGAAGAACAGATGCAGAGCACTCTTTCCTCAGTTGATATACATTGATCAAACATGTTTCAAATGAAGTAGACACCTGAGTGATAACGTTAGATGAATCATAGGAGTAATTCACAATATGCAGGGGGGAAAAAAGTCTGCTGCTATCCTTAGATCCTGACATCTTTGATGACATAGAATGGCATTTTCTCAAAATACAGGTGTCAGGGATGGATTTTGGAGGCATTATGAAGACATAGATCCACTAGGATAAAAAATTCTTTGGGTATGTTCCAAAGAATTTCAACTGTAAAGGGGAGCCAAAGTTGGCTCTTTTCCCCCTTGTTGTTTTCCCTCTTTATTGAACACCTGGCACTACAAAACAAAGAATAGTAATAGCATAACGGCACTTACAATTAATGAAATAGAACATACAATTGCATTGTTTGCAGATGATGTGGTACTAATGGTACCAATTCAGTACAATCTATAACTTCTATTCTGAAAAAAAAAATAATCAATTCACTGATAGATCAAGCTGGAAAATTAATTATAAGATATCTGAAATATTCAATATATATATATTTGTAAACTGTAATTAAACAGCTACAAGATTAATTTTGAGTTTGTATGGTCCAAACAAATGTACTTCAGAATCAATATGTCTCCTAACTTCAGTCAGCTAAAGGACATTAATTTTTTTCCTGGTATTTCAAAACTGATTTGTTGGATTGGAAAAACACGACATTTGCCTTATATTGGTTGTAGCACTTAATGAAAATGGACTGGTTGCCAAAGCTTAATTTCCTATTTCAGGCCCTACCAACATGGGTAGCAAAAACGATCTCCAAAGGCAACCTAAACAAGAATTAATACATTCGTATGGGACAATAAGTTCCCATTTGTAAATAAGAATTCTCTTTATTTACCCACTGTGGATGGGGGATTGGCAGTACCAAATTTAGTAAAATATTACTGGGTGGTTTAGTTAATATCACTATCAGCCTGAAACCCTGGTATTCCCAGTAAATATGGGTGGAAATTGAACAACAGGATTTTAAACATATATTTAGCATAGTCTTCTTATTCTTTTTAACCTAGAAGATATAGATCAGTACAAAAGAGAAACAATCCAGGGAATATGCAATGTCACATCATTCTTTCACAAGGACACTTTTGGAATGGAATTTGATAAACTGTACCCCCTTTCCAACTCACTTAAACTCATCAGAAATAATCCAGAATTTCAACTGGGTTCATCTAATCGAATATAAAATACATGGGAGGAAAATGATACACAACCATTGACCACAATGATAAAATTATGACAATCAATCCCATCAAATTACTTATGGAGAATATTAATATGACAGTTCTGGTTTATTGGCAACTAAAGTAGTATATCAAATGCAATTCAGGCAGCCCAATTTTTAGGAGACCATGAACAATCGTAGAAAGATCACGTCAAAAGTCCTGATCTCTGCATGGTATAACCAATCGTTACCAATGGAGCCAGAAGATATGACCTTTATGGAAAAATAGAAAAAAGGTCTAAAACCAGACATCCATTTTCAACAATGAGAAAATATCTGGATCTTGCTTGAATCCAGTTTTAAAATATCTGGAGGAAGGCTGGAACCTTATCATTTGTATAACTAGTATGCACAATTATTATAAAGTACTTTATCAATGTTACCTCACTCCATTTAAACTAAGGAAATATATAAAAAGGGAGTCAAATGCAGGAGAGAACATGGCAGAACAGGGATCTTTGTGCATGTATGGTGGGACTGCCCTAAGATAATATTTTGGAGGAAAATAAACAGAATTTTCAAGGTAAGTAAAATTAATTTACACATAGACCCCATAGTGGTTCTATTAAGTTACAGCCCAAAGGAGGTTATTGACTCAGAGAAGACCCCAGTACTAACATAATTACTGCTCGGCAGCTATATGTGATGATAGCTCCTTTTTCTGGAAAATAATAGCTCCCTCAGCATTGGCCACATGAGAAATTATAGTAAATCCTTTCAATGGAAAAAATACAGACAGCCTTATATCAATATTAAGTGGATTTTATGAAAGAAAGTTTATATCAGTAAATATCTCAATGATCAATACTCTTTGGATGACTGTTGTCTCCAATTTAACTTTTAATTTTTTAATGTGTAGGAGAAACTGAAGATACCTACATTACCAGTGCTATCCAGGAGGGGGCTAACATGGTGGATGATCCTATATACCATACACTGAAAAGGTAAAAATGGTCTGTGTGTCAGTTTTGCCATTAATTTCAATGTGACCCCTGTTGGGCCATAAGGATATCTCTTTAGGGGAGCATGCACTGTCTCATCGTCTCTTCACATGTTAAAAGCAACAGAGGGCCCTGTGGCACCTTTAAGACTAACAGAAGTATTGGGAGCATAAGCTTTCGTGGGTAAGAACCTCACTTCTTCAAATGCAAGTCATTGCATTTGAAGAAGTGAGGTTCTTAT